TTCATTAAAACTAATAAATTTTTTTTAAAAAACCAATATTTTACTACATTAATGAAATTTTTTTGAAACACATTGAATTGTTGTTCAGTTTACATGGATAAATTGTACTGACATGCAAATTGTAATCTTACGCAGTTTTGGCTTCTAATTTTTCTTTTTTAATTAATTTATTTATTTTACAGAGGTTTTGTATTTCCATTCATTCATTGACACAATTTTCTCCCTGCCCACCAAAAGAAAGTTACTTGATGGCACATAACAACAACAGCAGCATTAACAAGTCTTCTTTGCATGCATATGGTTTTATCCTGTCACTCACAGTTGTACTGCAGGATCTAGAAATAGTCTATTGGGCTATGAATGAAACTCATTTTTCCTCTTTTTTTTTTCATTGCCGGTAGATCATGTGACTGACTCAAAGTGCCCCATGCCAATCCATCTCAGTTTGCAAATGTGTGGTATGTTAATACTGTAAATGAGAGTAACATGTACCAAGTTTTAGCCTGACACAGCATACATACTGTGTATATAAATGTTAGGTGTTCACTCATTACCACACTTGCCACTCTCCGACTGCCGCACTGTTCACTCTGTAAACAAAGTGATGCTCAAGTAGATATGTAAAGGCTTTACAGACCTTTGCCAGGTGGTGATGCAATTACATCAGAGGACATTTAGTTGGAGGAAAATAAAAAGGTGTGAAGGTGAATACTGAGCACCTTATCTATGGAGCTCGTTAGGTATTTCTTTGAGTCAAATTTAAAGAAATAGTGCAAGACAGAAATAAAGAGGCGTAAGTAACACTACTTTAAAGCAAACTGAGTTTTATTTACAGGTCATGAAGAGTCCTTGATAGTCAAACAAGGAAGTAAGAGTAAATTTAGGTTTCCTAGTACATGAATCAATGCTGTTAAGAGTTCCTTAGAAACTATCTGGTCCAATCCTCTCACTGTGGAAAGAAATGAAGCACAAAGCGCATCTGGGGTCACACTGCTTGCTAGGACCCAACGTCTAAAAACTTCTTTTACAAAGCCCTGCCACCTCAAGCTTCCTGCTATGGAGTTGCCTCCCAGTCAGAGACCCCTGTCGGTCTTCAAGGCTGAAATCGCACAGAAGGCGGCTGCCCATCCTTCTTGCACACAAACACTACTGGTCAGCAGCCCAGCACTCTGCAGACTATGACACCAGGGATGCTTCTCAGGGATTCTGACACGTCTAAACTACATCAGAATATTGTTGTTGTTAAGTTTCATCGAGTCATAGACGACTCATAACCCGATAAATTAAAGACCTGAACACTTGTATAACTTTCATTGTTTCTCCATGTTCATAGAGTTCCCGAAGGCAAGCTATTTCAGAAATGGGTGCCACTCCTGTTTCCAAGCTTGTTTTAATCGGGGAGCTCGACCAAACACCGTCCACCATGGGTAACCATTCTCGCATTTGATGTATCAGTGTCACAGTGTTTAGCATCACAGCACCCACGAGTTACCGCTGTATAGCAAATGGAGAGACCAGTGCTATTCCACTTAGAAGAATGTTTTGACTAAAAGCAATTAAAACCAGGCCTGAGTGCCACAGATTAAAATCACCCACCTTTGACTTGGTAGCATAACTTTCTATCCACCAGGCCTATAGAGCTCTTTCTATGTTGGTGGTGGTGGTGTTAAATGCTGTCAAGTTGTAGACGACTCACAGAATCAGGCTGCTCCAGACCACTGACCCACCTGGAAGCCAGCATATACTGCTGACCCCCCAGCTTGTTAAACAGGGGGCCGAATACAATCAATTCACTCCCAATGGCAGATAAACACTGCATCTATGTCCCACCTGAAAATAAGATTAAACCTCTGTAGGATCAGGCTGCTCAAGAAGACTGTCCCATCTGGATAGATTCTCTAAAAAGGCCCAATAGGTTTTGTGAGCTCTGGTGGCTTTGTGGTAAGAATCTGCGCTGTAATCCCAAAGCACAGGATTTGAGGCCACCAGCAGTTCCATGGGCTAAGGATGGCCAGTCTCCTCCCATACAATTAACTGCCACTGAGAACCCACTGGAAGGTCAGCTATGTTCGTTTCTGAATCCAAAGTACACAATAAAAAAAGATTTTATTTTTATTAACTATCCAAGAACTGGCTCATCTTTCTCCCTCAGAGCAGCTGGTGGATTCAAACTGTATGCCTTTAGGACTGTAGCACAGTTTCTTACCACTAGGCCACCAGAACCTCCTGGTATTTCTTAGAAAGAGTAAGTGACAGTGGTGATGTGGAGGGGCTGTGGAAATATTTAAGGTTGACATTCCTTGATGTCTATAATTAACTATAAAATGGTTCAACAACAACAAAAATAAGATAAAATATTCACAACTGTTGAACTCAGGTAGTGTGCAATATGCTACTGTTCTACTTTTCTGTACCTTTAAAATTGTTCTCAAGTTTTTTATATACATATAACTGAACAGTTTTGACAACATTCACAACAATTAAGTCAGAGGCAAATAACTTTTCCAATCCAATTCCCAAAAACTTCAGCCCCAGGATCTCTAGACTAAGACAGAAAACATGGCTGTGTTCTCAACCTGACAGATGTGACTGTTACAGCCACAGAATCTTAGGGCAATGTATCATCTAATTCCTGAAAATGATGACTTCTCAGTTTCCTGGTAACAGTGTCACTTTGAGAGAACTGGAAGGAGGTGGGGAAAAGTTGGCAAAATGTAGCCACTTTCCTAACATTATCAAAAGGAGTAGAGTCAGAGGTAAGGCTTACCTCTAAAGGGTCAGAGATAAGGATTACTTGACCTCTTTGACTGAGTCAAGTAGATGAATCAAAAAAAACAGGAAGAAATTATGCTTCTCAAAATCCATTTTCTTCTTAATAAACTCCAAATAACTTGAAAAGTTGGGAAAACACATGCCTTCTTTAAGTAAGTTTTATTTGTCACTGTCAAATTCAGTCTTGTTTCATAACATTGTTGATATGTACTGATGGGTCAGAAATGATTCTTAGCTGACGCCCTAGTGGGTGTTCAGGGGCAATAAACTGCAAAAGATAGCTCATCTTTCTCTTAAGAAAAAGCTGGTAGATTTGAACACATGCCTTTGGGTTGGCAGCACATATTTTACCACTAAGCCATCAAAAGCACCCTTTTATAACAGTAACACTCATTAATATTAAAGAAAACATAGCTCCAGCTTCTTCTATTTCCTGCCTACCTATGTTATAGATCCTTGAGCGGTGCATGAAAAATAAAAGTGAAATAATAATGAAGAAATAAAGGAAAGAGCCAGCTACATTGTAAAGGTATAAAGACTCAAAACAGACCACTTACTACCTGAATGAAACACTGTGTTGAAATGCAGTGGGAAAAAGAGTACTTTGATTAAAGGCCAAGCTAGAGCGTTTCTTAATTAGAAGCCAGATCTTAGATACAAACATGTAGATATAAACACTCCGTGATGACTTTCCCCTTAGCAGTCACCCTGATGTACTGAGCACTTGACTGTGGAAGCCCTATCCCTGTTCACAGACCTGTAGACAGGCCTCTAGGTTGGCCCCTCACAAAGGGGCTCCAGGGACATGTTGTAAGCAGCAACACAGTGAGTGAACCCACAGGCTTGGATTCAAGATGTCTGGTCTTGAATGTGTGGCTTTGGTTAAGTGATTTAATAAGGGTGGAGGGCAGGCACAGGAGGGGAAGGCCCTCTGGGAAGTGGATTGTTTCGGTGACTGGGGTAATCGGGATGGGTGTGTCGGAGACAATGAGATTGGCACAGGACAGAGCAGAGTTTAGAGCTGTTGTACATTGGGTCGCTATGAGTCACAAGCAACTCGACTGGCACATAATAACAACAACAAAGCCTGTTTCCATCTCTATAAAACAGGGATGAAAAGTCTTATCCTATAAGGTTAATAAAAGATTAAATGACACAATGCTTGTAAAGAGCACATTCACTCACTCAGCGACTGTCAAGTTGGAACCGACCCAGAGCTGACCCTCTGTCAAGTTTTCAGAGGCTGTAAATCTCACAGGAGGAGACAGCCCATCTTTCTCCATTGGAGCCATGAATGGATTTGAAACCACTTGCCCTGGGGTTGGCAGGGCAACTCCTTAACCACTATGCCCTCAAAGTTCCCTCAAAGGGCACACAGGAAAACAAAAAACTGACTTATAGTTTAGATAAAAAGAACTGCTTTTCTCTGTCAAACTGAGAAACACAAAAATGATTCTCCCTACTTGAAAACTGAGGAAACCACTTTCTAAAGTACATTTCTTTCTTTAAGCTAGTAAATATCCTAAAATTATACTATTTATAAGTAATATACTAAATGTGAAATAAGATTTTAAATTCTTACGGTCTTATTTTCTTTTCCATTATCTTCTGTTGAAAAAACCAACTGCTTATTAATGTCATCCATACTAATTAGTGATCGAGTTTTGATGAAGTGTTGAAAGGACACAGCCTCCACGTATTCCTGCAGTCCTGAAAAGGCAAGAAAGTAAATGAAAACCACCTTTACGTTAATAAAAATGTCACAGAAAAAAAGCTTCATATTTATCACTACATAGTGCAACTGAGGTGCTCCTTGGAGACAAGGATGGTGAAACTTCACTTCACTCATTTAGGGCACGCTGTCAAGAGTACCTCATATTTTGAAAAAGACATCATGCTGGGAAAGGGGGAGGGTCAGAGAAAGATAGGAAGACCCTCAATAAGATGGACTGACAGTGACTGTCACAAGGGACTTGAGCAAATCAGAGACCACAAGAATGATGCAGGACATACCGGTTCAGATTTGTTGTTCACAGAGTGGGAGCCAAATAGATGTCATAGAACAACAACTTAGCCAAGAAGGCCCATGGTTGAGGGCTGGTTTTCTAATCTTAAGGTTGGGCAGCCCTAACTCCCTTGGCTGCACAGCAGAAGAAAGGCTTGGCCAGCTTCCATAAATGAAACCCTTGTGACCTTCAAGCCAATCCAAACTCACAGTGGCTTCCTGTGTTAGGGAACTGCTCAGGGCTGTCACGTTTACAAGAGGGCAGCTCCTGCCCCAAACCTCTAGCAGGATTTGACTCTGCAACCTTCAGAAAACAGGCACTGCTCTGTGCCACAAAGGGACAGCCGACAAAGCTCTGAGAGAAGTCCCACTCCATGTAACAGAAGAGAAGATGGTAAAACACACTTCTCCACAGCAAGTGTTGTGCTTATTAGGTCTGTTTATGCTTCCGGTTTAAAATCAACAAAAGTTTCACTGGTGCTGACTTTAATCTCAGCATTAAGTCAGACACTCAGAACACAAAATGTCAGCTGAAGGACAGAGAATGGGGAGGGGAGCATGGAAAACAGTGCACACTGCCACTGTGTAACTGGACTTGACCTGTTCAAATATAACAGAAATATAAATATAAATATAAATATAAATAAATATAAATATAAATGTTTCTTTCTACTTCATGAGGAACTAGTCTTGCTATCCTACCCTTTTTTCCACAGAGAAGTACAAAAAAAATCTTAGGCTCTAAAAAGAATAATGAAACTGTAAGTATCCTAGGATTGTTGTTGTTGTTATGTGCCGTCGAGTCGTTTTTGACTCATAGCGACCCTATGCACAACAGCCCTAAACCCTGCTCTACCCTGCACCAACCGCACTGCCTCTGACACACCCATCATACCAATTACCCCAGTCACCGAATCAATCCATCTCATAGAGGGTCTTCCCCTCCTGCGCTGTCCCTCCACCCTCCCAAGCATGATATCCCACTCCAAGGACCCGTCCCTCCTGGCAACATGTCCAAAGTATGTCAGACGAAGCCCCAGAATCCTTGCCTCCAAGGAGTAGCTTGGTTTAATCCTC